TAAAGATATATTTCCAGGTGGGCCTGACTGAAAGTGTATGGACCCCAAAATGTAATGTAGCTTTTAAAATATGTGCAAAATCTGTATTTGTTTGTTGTCTGCGCCTCTGCAGGCCTTATAATTAATTACTCATAGAACAAACTGTAATCATCATATAAGCAGATCTCATTGAGACGACTCGAACATTTTAAACACAGCGGCAGCAAAAGCATCAAAAACTAACTTTTAAGTCTGTGACAGAGGTTGAAGTTGCAACATTAAGCTTAAACCAAGTATTTCAATGTTTTTGTAAGATCATTTAATTCTGTTGGAATTGTAGAAGCCCTGTGATGAACTGGTGACCTGTCCAGGGTGTAGCCTGCCTTCACAGCTGGAGATGGGCACCAGGTTCCCTAGACCCTGCATGGACAAGAAGGTAAGAATGGATAGAAGCTTCTGTTCATGTTCAGTAAAACACACAGAAACAAAGTAATGAAGGAAAAAAGGCAAGGGAAGACAGTTTGATTAAGTAGACCATAGGTGGACCTCCCCCCAGGCCCACCCGTACCAACGCAGTCCACGGTTTAAAGCACAAACTTAAAACATTTCTGTCTAGCAGGCAGTGTGACATTATAAAAAAGATCTGCAAACCTCTCCCACCTTGTTTGCTACTGCTGGTACTTCTTGCACTTTCCAGCATTAGTTTTGATGCCGCATGGCAACAGAAGATAGTGATACATAAATACTTTGTGGAAGAAGGAAGGAGGGCACATTTAAGTAATTTCTTAATATCTTGGAGTGCAGGAATCCAGTGAATCCAGTTGTTTGATTTTCACTGAAACACAGCTGCAAACATCAATGTTTCTGTACCAAATTTCAAACTGTTAGAGCAAAAATAAAAAGTTGTACAGTATACCAAGAAAGAGTCCAGTGTGGTGTCATAAGCTCAGCTGCAACACCTCAATTCAAAATAAAACCACTTAGAAGGTCAAATAAAATCATGTCTCCTCCAGTGATAGTTTTAATCTTTGAACAGTTTTTTTTTTTCATTTCAACTTTTTCAGTAATTCATCTTGCAATGTTATCTATTACTTCTGAGGACTATAAAGTATTATTTATTTAAATTGTTTTAGATAAATCATTATTAAACATGGCAGCACGGTGGGGCAGTTGGTAGAGCTGTTGCCTCTCAGCAAGAAGACTGCCCCGGTTCAAATCCTGGCCGGGGGCCTTTCTGGGTGGAGTTTGCATGTTTTCACCATGCAAGCGTGTTTTTTCTCCGGGTACTCCTGGTTTCCTCCCACAGACCAAAAACATGCATGTTAGGATGACTGGTAACTCTAAATTGT